TTAGTTAGTTAGTTAGTTAGTTAGTTAGTTAGTTAGTTAGTTAGAGATACAACCTTGCTATGCATCCCTACCTGGCATAGAACTATGTAGGCCCTGATAGCCTTGATCTTGTGATGATCGTCCAGACTCCTGAGTGCTGGAATTACAGGTGTGACTGCTTCAAATCTCTCTTCTGCAACTAAGTCTCTGGGAAACCAGAATGAGCTATTTTTTTGCTTTCTTCTTCTGTGAGTTAGGATTTTATCCACCTGAAATCAAGTAATCACCTATGCTGTGTCATTAGCTATGGTCATCTTCAATGTATGGTTATTAGCAGGTCCTCTTCAAAGTACTTTGAGATGAGTCAGTCTTGCCAACAAGATGGAGAACATTTCGTCAAATCAACGAAACTGTGTCCAACAATATGGTTATTCTTACTATTTCGAAATGCAGATATGAGCGTTCTAATCATTAACCTGGGATGGTATTGGTACAGGGAGGGAAGAGCGTCCCTTTTATTCTCAACGGAGTACCTGTGATTGACAAGCCAGCAGGAGCAGCGCGGTAGCTGGCCACTTCCCCTCATGCCTGCTAGCAGGTCAGCCTCAGTTCAAGTGGGAAATGTATAAAATACAAAGTGGAATATTCCAGAGTAACCCTGTGGTCTATGATTCAGAGCCCGTTCCAGGTGATTTTTTTTTTTTTCTTGACAAGAGCTTTGCTAATGAGCCATATCCCCGGCCATCACCTGGTGATTGACGTGTGTCAGCACTTAAGGACTGCTAGAGACTATACTCCTAGAAGGCATCTTCCATTGTCACCATCCCGCCAGATCAGACAAAACTATGGTTAGATCGAGCTTCTCGCATTTATCAATCTGGATCAACACACTAGTTTTCTAAACATGTCAAATTTACAGTTTGAATATCTTGTAATATCAAATATGTAAAGATGAGCTGGTGAGCTGGCTCTGCGGGAAAAGTTACTTGCCCCCAAGTCTAATGACCTGAGTTGGATCCCTAGGACCCTCACAGTGGTAAAAAGGAATGAGCCCCCACAAGTTGTCCCCTGACCTGCACCTTTGCATCCTCATATGTACACACCACACACACACACACACACACACACACAGAGAGAGAGAATTTAAATAAATTCAATAAGCAAGTAAGAAATTGATAATCTGTTATACAAATATTACCTGATATGATAATACCACTTATTAAAAGGAAAAATAATTTGGACATGTGAGTAGGTTTTGAACTACTTTCTGTACCGAGATTCTACTGTTCCTGGTGCTCATTTTTATCTGTGCGTGCTAGGATGTTACTTAAAGAGGGGATTTTGCGGTTTGCTGAGTTTCAGTGGGGACAATCAAACAGCAAGGGATTTTGCTCTCCTGGTTACCACTCTCATCTCAATATATCATGGCCAAGGTGTCTCATTTCTAAGAAATAACAGAAATTACGCTTGTAAATGCCATGTTTGTGCCTGCAAAGGAAGGCATTTCTTGGATGATTGTAATACGGATATTTAAAAGTTTCCCAGGTGATTCCATTTGTGCAATCACACTGTTGGGAAACAATGATTTGAGTAACTCTGGTACAGTCTAAGTGTCCTTTCTCTGCCTCCCCTGACAAACAGCAGCATGGTCTTAGTTCAGTGCCGCCACTGGACTGAATTACAAAGAAGTATTCTTTGCCAAATGTCGTGAAGCACATCTTTAATCCCAGCACTGTGCAGACAGAGGCAAGCAGAGCTCTGTAAGCTCAAGACCAGCCTGGTCTACTTATCAAGTTTCAGGCCAACCAAGACAACCTAGTGAGACCTTGTCTAGCAAATTCACTGTTCTTTCAATAAGTTAAGTTCAGTGGCTGCACTGAGGTGCACTGTACTCACTGTTCTTCAAAGACAGTGTTCAGGTTTTTGTTATTATCGTTTCTTTTGTGCTTTTTTATTTGTTTGTTTGTTGTTTTGAAACTGTATTCTGAGCCAAATATAGAGCCTGCAACTTTGGGTCCCATCTTGGTAGAGAAGTGGATTTGATTATTTTTTTAACTGACAGAGACTGAGAGCTCAAGTAGTCCTTTTAACAAAATCTATGTAGGCTGGACAGACTGCCTAATGTTTAAGAGCACTGGCTGTTCTCACAGTGGACCAAGGTTCCATTCCAAGAACCACATGGCAGCTCACAAGCATCCATAACTCCAGTTCTAGGGAATCTGAGGCCCTGAAAAACAGGTTAAGAACCTTGCCAAGCAGGGCAGTAGTGGGGACAGACATTTGAGAATTGGCTAGTGTGAGCAAGGCTATGGGTTTAATCCCCAGCACCATATAAGTAAATAAGCAAACAGACTAATGGATGAATAAAGTGTAAATATATATATATATATATATATATATATATATATATATATATATATATGAATGTGAAAGGGGAAAACAAGCCTAGAATTCTGATTTATGTGTGTGTGTGTGTGTATATTTTGTACATATATATGTATTTACATATATGTGTATATATATTGTCCTTTTAACTTTTGATGTGTTCTTTTATTATTCATTTCTTTATGTTATTATAGCTTAGTATGTATGTGTGTGAGTACGTATTCATGTGCTTGAGCAAGGGAACATATTCATGTCATAATGCGCATGTGCAGATGAGAGGATAACTTGCAGGACTCAGTTCTCTCCTTCCACCATGTGAGTTCCATGGACTGAACCCTGATCATCAGGCTTGGCAGCAAAAGCTTTTACCCACTGAGCCATGTGACCAGGCATGCACATTCGTATGTATGTATGTATATATGTGTGTACATGGTTTGCTGGGCATGGAGGTGCATGCTTTTTATTCAGTACTTAGAAGGTGGAGGGGGGTGGATCTCTATGACTTTAAGGTCAGCTTGGTCCAAGTCTCAAGTTTCAGACCAGCCAAAAATACATAGTGAGACCTTGGGTTTTGATTTTGTTGTTAATTTGTTTTTTTGTTTGTTTGTTTGTTTGTTTGTTTGTTTGGGGGGGGTGACGGCTTTTGTTTTTGTTTGGTTTGGATTTTGTTTTGTTTTGTTGTTTTTTGTTTTGTTATGTTTTGTTTGGGGTTTTTTTTGTTTTGTTTTGTTTTATTGAGATAGATTTTCTTTGTGTAGACCTGGCTGTTCTGGAACTCACTCTGTAGACCAGGCTGGCCTCTGCCTCCCAAGTGCTGGGATTAAAGGCATGCATCTCCACTGCCTGACTGAGACTTTGTCTTTTTTTTTAATTTATTTTTTATTAATTAGAGTTTATTCACTTTATTTTTTAATTTAAAATATTTTTATTAATTACAGTTTATTCACTTTGTAGCCCACCTGTAGCTCCCTCCTCCCCTCCCAAACCCACCATCCTACCTTTGCTCCACCTATGCCCTTCAACCAGTCCACTGATAGGGGAGGTCCTCTTCCCCTTTCTTCTGATCCCAGTCTATCCGGTCTCATCAGGAGTGGCTGCATTGTAAGACCTTGTCTTAATGTGTGTGTGTGTGTGTGTGTGTGTGTGTGTGTGTGTGTGTGTGTGTATACATATATACACACAATGGCACATAATTGTCTGTTTATGGAATGAAACTAATGTATATCCTGAATAGAATTTTATTTTTGGTAGTTCCTTTCCTCTCTACATTTTGTCCTCCAGTTTTCATTTCAAAATAAAAATGAAGTTGTGGCCTATAAAGCAATGGGGCCAGCCTGGGCTGAGCTTCACAACAAGAACCTGTCTCAACAACAACAGCAGAAAAACAGTAGTGAAGATTAGGATAGGAACCTCAAGGAGGGGTGGGGGGATTTAGCTCAGCTGTAGAGCACTTGCCTAGCAAGAGCAAGGCCCTGGGTTCAGTCCTCAGCTCTGGGGGGGGGGAGAACCTCAAGGTGTCTGGTGCACATCACTGAGCCTGAGGCACATACTCTTCTGCATGAATAGCTGGCTAGGAAGGACCATCAGTTAACTGTTTCCTCCCACAAGTGTTCAGGGTAGTGTGGTCCCTTCTCATTGTGATGAGGTAATAATTCAGGAGACTTCACAGGCCTGTGCAAAGGTTCTATTACAAAATACAGTCCACCTGGAAGTGGTGGAACATGCCTTCAATCCTAGGACTCAGGGAGACGGAAGCAGGCCAGGCTAGGCTACAAAGTGAGTCCAGGACAGCAAAGGCTACACGGAGAAAACTCGTCTTGAAACAACAACAACACAAACAAACAAATCCTTTTGTTTGTCCCTTTTGTGACAAAGATTGTGTTTGGAAAACATTTGGGAAAATACAGCTTTCACACTATGTAAGAAAATCCAAATAAAAATTAAATGAACACATGAGTTTAGGAGCAAGGGGATAGGGGAGGGATGGGAAGGAAATGGGGAGTGGTTTTGATTAAAGCACCTTATATACATGTATGGAATTCTCAACCAATTAAAAAAACAATAAGTTAAAAAAAAAAAGAAAATTCAAACAAGCATGTTGAACATTACATGGTAGATACTGCCTGTGAATACTCCCTCCAAATGCTTAGCCATCTTACATAATGCTCAAAAGAAAACAAAAGAAAATTAAAGGTGGAGTCCAATTTGTGTTTTTATTTTTAAATAGCTGATACAAATTGGTTCCTTTTTAATTGAAAGTTAAATGGCTTGGTAATACAACCTCAATAACAAAAACAAAGTCAGTTTGCAATCATTTGATTTATTTGAGTTTTGCCGTCCAGCCAGCACTAAATTACTTCACCTTCTAATAAAAATAATCCCTAATGTTGAGAAAATACAGACAAGTAGAAGGAAGCTTTATTAAGATCATCAGTATTAGAACTAAATCCTTTTTTCTCATTAAAGAAGATACTGTCAATTTAATTAATGCACATTAATCCCCAGTTGACATTAAATTCATCTAAAACTCTATATTCATAGAGATTAATAATAACAAAGCACAAAATGTGTAAATTGATTCACATATGGAAAAAACACAGCTCTAAAATTTCATGTGATCATATTCTTAAGTATTCTATAGATAAACTAATCATTAAAGGTCATATCTTTAGTTTATTAAACACTTCTAATTTACTAGAAACCAGGAAACCAGAATTTCTAAGAAGAGAATTAGAAAAAATTTACTAGGATAAGTTAAGGTTGTTATTTCCGATAAATTAGCCATCAGTCATTAAACTATTGAAGTTGAGCTCCATAGTACAGTGGCAATAATAAAAATAACTGAATTCTTCTTTGAAGAAATGTCAAAAAATGGTATAAAGCAAAACATAGTTCATCTCCAACATTTAAATATTTTATTTTTTAAGTAAAGATTTGGTGTGTGTGTGTGTGAGAGAGAGAGAGAGAGACAGAGAGAGTGCACGCGCTTGTGTGTTGAATGTGTGTGGATGCCCTCAGAGGCCGAAAGAAGGCACTGAGTCCCCTGGACTTGGAGTTACAGGTGGTAGTAAGCCACCTAATGTGGGTACTAGGAACTGAACTCAGATCTTCTGGACGAGCAGAAAGTATTGACACCCCCTGAGCCATATTGCCAGTACCAATCCCTAACATCTTAAAAATGATTCTAAATAATAAAGTTCTTATTCTTATTCGGTTTGTTGAGACATGGTTTTCCATACCTTATGCTGACCCCACACTCATGATAAAACTAAAAATGAGGTTGAACTTCATAATTCCCCAGCCTCTGCCCTCTGTGTGCTAAGATTATAGGTAGGCACCACCGTGCCTTCTCCATACAGTGCTAAGAAATGAAGCCACAGACTCATTTATGCTAAGCATTTCTCTACCAATTTAGCTGCAACCTCAAAGCCAGTTATTTATTTTAGAACACCTCTGTGTATGCATTTACATTAACTGAAGTTCTAGAACAGACCAATCTCACATTATTAAGTGTATGCAAGGCAGGGTATTTTGTTCTCAGCCTTATCAATCTCTTTCTGGCTACAGGCCTCTTTGCAAAGCATGTCATCTATCATGTATTTGAATACTGATTTCAAATAGCATTCTTATTCCAAGAACATGCATAGAAGCCCTATAAAGGCTTAACTTCAGCTCATAATTTTCTTCGTATTGAGCCTACACCTTGCAATGAGGCAACACAGCCCAGCAAAATAACTGCCTTTTCAATATATATGAACAAGAAAAACTTAACTCTCTCACTAGATCACAAAAAAAATGAAAAACAGACTTGAACATTATCCAACTTTTCAATTTTATGATAAGCTGTGGAGCTAATTAATTAAATAAACTACAGGATGCCAATTTTCTTTATTTACCTTTTTTTGTCTTGATAAACATGAGTAAGCTTGAATGGACACCTCTATTTTCCTTTGGGTTTGAAAGCTTCCTTTCATGTGTATGAAAAATGGCTAACCATGTCAGGGTTTATCAAACAGAACCTTGCATTTGTGGCTGGTCCCTTTCCCCTTATCTGGCAAACACATTACCCTCTCCATCAAAATGGGGCAGAGCAAACACCACAGCCACCCGCATATATAACCAGGGCTAACTTAACAGCCTCAGGACTCTTTAAACTCAGCAAGAAAGCTGATTAGGCTCCAGATCTTTAGGCATTATCTTATTTTTGATAGCTCTCTGCTATGAAAAGGCAATAAAAAGAAAGCTGTTTACTATGAGAGCTGGTTAAGGTGTCTGCTTACTTACGAGCTGTACTTAAAAGGAAAGGGAGAGAGAAGAAGTGTGTAAACTAGTTTAACTATTTGCCAAATCTCAAAGGGGGCAATGTTTAAAAAGTAATTTACTTATGAATTAAGAGACTATGGTACTTCCTTCAATCTCACATTCTGTCTCAGGACTTCCTGTGTTTCTGGTACACATACAGAATAGAAACAAACCTTGTGATGGCCAAGGCATTGTGGGAAAAAATAATTGGTAGGAAACAACAGAACCTTGGTGCCATCCTAATATCTGTTTGCTGTTTGAATAGTAACTTTGACACTGCTATTTGCCTGAGTATGAGAAAGTCAAAGATTCATTTCAGGCTTATGGAACAATACTGAAAGATGTAGGAAAAAGGGTTATATATTCCAGTAACGTGTAATGAAGGTGTTGCCTTCACCCTCATCTTAAAAGTAATTAGGGAGGGCTGGAGAGATGGCACAGAGTTTAAGAGCACTGGCTGATCTTCCAGAGGACCTGTGTTCAATTCCCAGAAACCACATGGTGGCTCACCACCATCTATAATGAGATCGAATGCCCTTTTCTAGTATGCATGTACACATGCCGACAGAACACTGTATACATAACAAAGAAATAAATATTTTAAAAATAATAATAATTAGGGAAAAGTGAAAAATGTCTAACAATGAAGCTGAGCTTGAACGCCTTACATTCAATTTCAAATCAAACCAAGCAACAACAAACGACACTTGGAAGAAAATATTCTATCTGATACACAAAGTCCATCCCTTCTTTAGATCAAGCTAACTGTTCACAAAACCCAGTGTCTCTGGACTTCCTGTGTTTCTGGTACACATAAAGAATAGAAGCAAACCTCCTTGTGATGGCCAAGGCTTTGTGAAAAAAAAAAAAGTGGGTAGGACTGAAAGAGAAGTAGGGTGGGCGTGCTTCCAAGGATGAAGTTGATGTTGACCAGCTCCTGCCTCAGCTTGATCCAGGTAGTCCTTGCGGGAAGGACCAAAAAATGAAAACTATTCATATCTGAAGTGCTGGGATCCAAGTGGAACAACAGAAACTCTTGTTCTGTATCCACTGAAGGTGACCTGCAGAAAAGGGGAGAGCTCTGTCAACCACCTCTCAGGTACTCAGCTTGCACTTAAGCTCTCATCTCAAGTTACTGCTGGGAGTGGCAATGGAGCAGCTCACAAACACAGAGGGTCTGCAGTCAGGTAGTGTTGCCAGTGTTTCCAGTTGAGGTCGGTATTGTTATAACCCCAAGCTCAACATGCGCATTAGGAAATAAGCAGGACCCGAAAATTTGTGTTATTGCAACCTACACTTTTCACACTGATGTCCTAGTTTTTAACTGACAGTCTAACGTGTTACCAGGACATATCACTTTCTCCTAGGAATGAACTTGGACTTGTGTAATATAATAATACATATATAAAACACATGTTTCAAGAGAATGCTTTTAACTAAGAAAGCTGAGATGTCCTTACCACATTAAAATGGTAACAGAGGGACTCTGGAGGACTTAGGTACATAGCTACTGCAGTCATGAGAAGAAGCATGCTGGTCTCTTTATGAAATAAAGGGGCTGGAAATCGAAAATATAGCTATTTGACTCCTTAGGAGTTTCAGGTCAAGTGTCTCTGGTCTGGTACGCAAACATTTTTTTGGTGGCATTCTCACCGATTTCTTGAGCTGAATTGTTGGCTGAACTTTACATATAAGGCTACTTGTTATTTAGTGTGCCTTGAGCATTAGACCCAAGGAAGGCAAAGATTGCTTTGCTCCTTGGGGGTATTTTCTTCTGCTAACATTTGACTACAGTACAATGGGGTTTGGTTTGGTTTGGTTTGGTTTTGGTTTTGGTTTTGGTTTTGGTGGTTTTGGTTTTTTGGGTTTGGGTTTTTTTGTTGTTGTTTTGTTTTGTTTTTTGTTTGTTTGTTTTAGCAGCCTTATTAGAACCAAATCAACCTGAGTTTTAGTTTTGGCATCTGGTCATACAACACTATAGGTGATGGGGCGGGGGGGAGCATCATTTTAAATAATGATATTAAAACATCAGTGTACAGCATGGGCTATAACAATAACTTCTGGGTGGCTAGGAGTTATACCTGCCCAGTTTTGCTGCAAGAGCTTCTCAAGAGCTTGTTCACATAACCCTTTCCACAAACCCTGATTTATTATTTCTCTACATAAAGGAACTCAGAGACAGATAGATATTCCCAGTGCTATACAGTTAAGAAGTAAGCCAAACTTCAAAGAGGTTAATGTGTACATGTTTGTATCAGCATGTATTTAAACTTATCAAAATATTCCCTCAAAAATAGTTGGGACATTGGTCTGTTTGAAAACAATAAATAAAATAATTCCATTCACTATTGTGGGTAACTAACATAGTATTCTATTTTTTTTAAAAAAAATATGACAGTAAATGGTTTTTTTGTTTTTTGTTTTTTGTTTTCAAAAAGTTCCCCCACAAAGCCTGTGGCTCAGTTACTAGTGCTGAGTATATGCCAGTCCCTGAGCTCAACCCCGGCACCACATAAACCAGGCATGGTAGCACATGCCTGCCATCCCAGGAGATAGAGGCAAGACCCACCAAACTACACAGCATGTGAGAGACCACCTGGGGCTACATGAGACCCTGCTTCAGAGAGAAAGAGAGAAAGAAATGAAGGAAGGAGAAAAGAAAGGCAGAAAGGAAGATTCATTTTCAGTATAAACCAATGATTTCTAAATGCTTTGAAAATGACCACAAATGGATTCATGTGATAGCTCAATACTTTCTTAACAAGTGTGATTAAAAGGCATAGAATCTATTTACTGCTGACAAACCATTGCCCTTTCCTCCATGGCACTGGGTCTGCCTTGTAGTGCCCCTGGCTGCCATGGAGAAATAGGTAAATACTTCCTTTGCCAGCTCCGCCGTTGCTTTCTCTCTGGATACTGTGTCTGCACTTACAACAGACCATGGCTGTTTCTCAGCAGAGAGATGCCCTTCCTGGAGTTACCAAATGTTCTGAGTTTTTCTTTTTTTATTGAATGTCATTCTGAGGATAAATAGCAACATCTAGAGATAAAAATGTTGCTGAACATGCTATTATTGGCAAAGAAAGTGTCCACTGGAATCTTTCAGGCCTGTCCCAAGTATGAGATGATAGAAGAAAGTCATTAGCGGCAGCATTAAAAACAAGAGGCATTTAATAAAAGAAATATTAATTAGAAATGGGAGGAGTACATGAAATTTGGTTAATGTCTTTACCTTTAAAGGCACACATCAAGTCCAAAGATAGCTTCTGTGAAAAAATATTCAAGAATGAAGAAGAAATAAAGAAGTAAGTTTTAGTAATTGCTATCACCACTATCTATTATCACTAGATAGATTTTTAAAAGAAATCTTTCTGCCCCAGTAATAACCTAGGAAGTGAATCAGGGAACTGCATTAGTTATTTCGTCTTGTGTGAGGGCAATTATGCTCTTGACATATTTCTTTAGTGTCTACATATCTGCATCCTGAAACCTCATGCAATTGACCATTTTGATAATGACTACCTCATCCGACCTAGAATGCCGAAATGAACTCTGGGGAGGGGACTTAGTCTGGTATATGATGCTGCTAAGATGACCTTTCAGGCTTCAAGACTCTCTAAAAGACAACTGCAAAAGCCACCAGGGCACAGTAAAGCCTCATTTTGTCACTGGACACAGCACACTATTAAAACTTAGTCTTTACATCTCTTACAAAAATATTACTAAGATGGAATAACAGTAATACAAGAAGGAATATATGTCCCATTTTTATCACAGCCAAAACAATTCCATAAATGCACACAAGTTAAAATGTGTGCTTTCGCTGGTGCTCGCAAAAATAAATTTTTACCAAAAAGCTTCCTTCTTCTTAGACATCCCTCAAGAGGAAATTATGAAATGGCTTCTGTACTAGGTGTCACTAACTTCAGGTTCCATTTTTGCTAGGATAAACCCAGACAGCTGAGATGACTTACTTTTTTTTTTTTTAAGTACACATATATTTTTGTATGATTCTTAGGTACACTGAAGACTTTGTCTCCTGAAGGGGGAAAAAAAGGTAGTCTTTCCTCGCTCATGGAGTTAAATAATGGTAGCAATTCCAGCAAAAGCCCTTATGAACCACATTCCAAAGGCACAGAAGAGGAGCATCTGGAAAGAGCCATTCTCTTCTGCCTTGTTCCTTCAACACCCCAAGCCTTCTATTGCAAGAGAAAGAGAAGGGGGGAAAAAAGCCCACACTATGTCCTCACCGCTTCACCCCCCTAGTTCAAGACAGACTAACTGGTCCAGCCACAAAAATGAATTCTCTGTTACCACTTCGGGGAAATGGGTTAAATAAGGGTTGAATGTTCTGTGATTATTAAGGTATTTAAAATATTTGGGGGTTTCAGATAAAGAAAGGTTTGTTGCCAGTAGTTGTTCATTGAAATCTCTTACAGGATTTTTTTTTTTTTTAGCCTAGTCTGTGATGCAGAACCCGCTGTGCTAAATTATGAACCAAAGGCTTTGGGGTGGGAACAATCAATCAAAATACCTGGGGTAGTGTGTAATGTGCACGCTCTTGTCAGCATGAACAGGCTGCCCCTGCACACAGTCCCCCAGCAGGTTAAATAAATATGATACTATAGACAAACCGACAGGCTCACACGGGCATCAATCAGCTGTTGATAAAATACAATCTTCCTTTAATACACGCTGGGAAAGTTATTTAACGGTTACCAAACCTATATCCATTTCTTGTCTTTTTTTTTTTTTTTTTTTTTTTTAAGTCTTTTCTAAAGTGTAACTCTTTTATAGGGGCAAGGCAGAAAAAGTTACAAGATCTTGGCGGGGATTGGGGGTGCATTTAATGGCGCCGAAGACATGCTGAGACTCAGATCCCTTGAGGAAGAAGGATGGAGTGGCCATAGGACAGTCACCTGAAAACCTGAAGCGTCGTCCTCTTACACAGAGTTACACGTGTTGAAGCAGTCCCTGACTGGGAACCCCTGGAGCGCTTCAATCCCACTTTTATTTCCCTTCTTTGGGGTCCTGATGTTTGGGTACCTGGAGAACAAATGAGGGACACTGATTAATTCCACTGGACTGATTCCAGGGGCAAAGAGAAACTGGGCAGAAAAGAATTTAAAGCGGGAGGGGAGGGTCGGAATAGAAAAGTGTCCCCTGCCGAGTAAGAGGGACGCGGCGCCTGACTCTGCAGTCAGTGACGGTGAAATGGGAGGACTCGAGAGCCAGAGTCCGCTGCGCTGGTGAGCGGAGCCTTTAGAAACACCTTTCCGAGCGGAAAGCGCCCCTTTTTGCCCTTCTCAAAGAGGCCCAAAGGAAAGGGGAGCCCCGCACTACGGTCCTGAGCTCTCTTAGTCTCCGTCCCCCTCCAGGCATCTGGTGCGGGGGCCCGCCTTGTCCCCCGCCTTGCACGGCCACCTCCACCCCCCATGGTCCAGGGAGCGGCGGCTGGAGCTCGGGAGGCCACGGGATTTCAGGAGTGGGAAGGCCCTTGCTCGAGGCTGCCAGGCGATCTCCTAACAGGGGAAGGCGAACGTCCCGCCTAAAAACTAAGGTCTCCTAAGGGCCGTCGGTACAGCACAAACCCGGGTGGCTGGCAGGCGCACGCGTCCCGACCTGCCACTCAGATCCGGGTCGCCCCCAGCCTGCGGAAACAACCCGCAGGACGAGGCCCACGCTTGCACGCGTGGAGTCCTCCCCGGCAGCGACCCCGGCTTCCCGAAGGCCGGGCCTGCCCCCCGCCCCCATGCTGGAAGAACCGCTGCGACTCCCGCGGTCCGCACTCCCCGGGGGTTTCTGGAAGATTCCAGGCTGGGAAAAGGCTGAGCTTGGCGGTTCCAAAGGCTTAGACTTTGGTCGTCTGCACTGAGCTGCAGATAGACCGCCCGGGTGGTTTAGGCTCGGGGTGGAGGGAACCGGCCCCGAAGGGTCAGTTCGCGACCCCAGCGTTGTTCCTGGACGCTGGAGGTGCTGGCAGCTCTTTTTGTGTGTATGTATACACACACACACACACACACACACACACACACACACACACACACACAT